GCATTTTATTAAAAAATATATTAATTTCTTTCTTTAGTTAAAAACGCGCTGAAAATTCACACAAAATTAAGTACCTAGAAAAATTGGCGAGAAATCAAATCCCAAATAATGATCATCAACTACACGAGGTTAGTAAGTTGAAGTGTTCTTAAAGTTTCAAGTACGAAACCTACTGAATTTTATGACCAATCGCTTGCCTGTGGATCTCTGAAAACAGAGTAAGCCACACCAAGCTACAAACCACAATGAGAGAAGGGTCAGTGTGCTCAATCACCGCTGGGCGAGAATTAATTCGTTTGTTTTGGTTTCGCCTGAACGGAATGTTCGCATGCGGATGTCTATCAAAGGATTGTCTATTACTCATTCCCACCACTGTAACTTCTGAGTAGACAGAATATACAGTATCCAAATGGGTAGCCAGCATACACATAGATACCGCGATCAGATCGTAATATTGAAAAAATATCAAGATTCACGGCTCGTAGAAAAAATAAAATTCGTTACATTCAATTTAGAGATCTTATAAAAAAGACATCGAAATGTCATAATGTGCCAAACATTTTATTTTGTCTACTGTAGGAAGGTAATGATACATGTCTGGCGAATCAAGTTAACTGATGATAGTTACTCGTAAATAGATCATTTCCACATAATTTGCTCCTCCACTTGCTTTTTCTTTATAAGTTATTTTAAGCTTATTAGCTAATAATGTAATTTTGTTTATTGTAATTTCTTTTATGTGTAAAAAGCAATAAACTTTTTTTTATTTATTTATTTATAATTCCAAGTGTGTTATTGTATTGTGTACGCTTAGCGGTTAACCTTCCGATTCCTTACATCATTTAGGATTTCAACGATCATTCAACAAATGGACATAGTTTGTAGCGAGCCTACTGCAACTCCACGCGTTTGCCACACTGTGACCACGAGAGCAGAACCGGAATGGGCAACGGTGGTTCAGCGGCGCACGCGCACCGCGCTATCGAATTTCGCTACACGTTTGAGACTAAAGTTTTTGCGGTGGCCATTACAACGCTTCCCTGGCATGTGCATGCCTGAAAATGATTGGCAGTGAAAATGGAATGCGAAAGTGGAGCATAATTTAAGTAATTATGTTTGGATTTAGGTTTAAGGTAAGTGAGATGACTGCGAATTTCGCGGATTGGAAAATTACTCAAAGACAAAGCTTTTTTATTCACTACCACCAGTTCGGGTTAACATATGGGCTGGTGCTGGTTATATGCTAACTTTTAATATTTATAATTAGTAATAATTACTTGACCCTGTCCGATGCTTCATGGATCGTATCACAGAAAAAATACTTTAGCAAAAATACCGCAATCAAACTGTATTTCTTGCCAAAAACATAAGAAAATGTTGAGTTTTCATATCACTGACTATGAGAACCTTCTTTAGGGAATTTAACTCCCATTTTTCCCTTCTTCATAGCCTATGTGATAGTTTATTTTCCCAAATTCAATCTACTTATTTCCAAAATTCATCAAAATTAGTAGTAGAGACAGCAAACTACAGGTTAAGAAACACTGCTCTAAAGTAATAAATTAAGTGATTGCTAATATGATGCGACAAGATTAATTAATTATGTATTCAGATCGGCTCATGAAGAATAAGCGGTTGTTTGTTAAGGTGTTAAGCAAAAACGGCTATCAAAGATTTTAAATGAAGTTGAGAAATAAATAATAATACAGAGATGTCAAAACTATTAAGAAAATACAAAGAAAATGGAAATAATAACTTTTGAATTGCCACTATTACTAAAAGGGTGGCAATTTTAAACAACATTCAACTACAATACCATCACTTACCATCAGGTGATCCGTTTGCTCGTTTGCCTCGTATCACATAAAAAAAAAAAAAAAAGAAAGAGCTCCAATAAAATTGATCGCGGATGCCAAGACCTTCTGTGGTATATTCATCATCATCATCATCAAATCATTTACACCCGTATTCACAAACTATACTTGCTTAAGTGAAGCAGCAAATCGAACGCACAGCGTTGAATAGAGCTCTGTGATTGGTTCCAAAAGTTGTTTTCAAAAGTTGGCCCAAAAGATAAGGAGACATGTAAAGTGCCCCGTAAGGGCTACCTTTTCTTTTTTTATTATTTACATTTTGACGTTCATAAGTGCCACTTGTGGTCTAAAAACTGAATAAATATTTTTGATTTTGTTCGTGTGTCACCCTGTGCGTCCACGCGCATCATAGTAATGTTGTGAAGACGACACCATGTAACTAACCAGAAACAAATGGAGGATTTGTTCTACAAGCTGGCTTTCTTCCATAGTTGATTTTACGACATTCACTGTAAGAGTGGGGGTGGTCCTATACTATTCTGCCTGTTTGTTAACATCCTGAGAATCAATTATTTGCAGAATCGGTTATATGTGTTTCCATAATCAAAGAATTCGCATTTGTAAAGAAAAATTATAAAAAAATCTTGATTTTCATACAAACACTCCAGAGAGAAAGCTCCAAAAGTATAAAGTCATCTTCTTTGTAGAGAGCAAGAGTACAAAAAGATTCATACCATTGAATATTCAAAATTACTTGAATATACGAGTTTTGATTTTAGCAAGTCATCTGAGTATTTACGAGATATTTTCTTAAGCCAAATAAGTACATAGATACCAATATGTATTACAAATGCACACGTGACATCAAGCATTTCACTCCTGCATAATAGTCGGATTAAAATAAAAAAACAACATAAGTATTAATAAAACCTACTTAAATTCAGACTACGAAAGAAAGTGACCTAACTCAAATTAGGCTGTTAGGCTCATATTTTTTCAGCCGATTTTATTCAAAAAACTGTTAAAAAGGCTGTAAGCCATAGCGCTACAGTGACCCAAGAAATAAATTGTTTTTCAAATATGGCATGACAATAAAGTATATTTGCTTAAAAGAAATAAAAAAACATTAATTTAGTTCTTAACGATCTGTGTTAATTAATTTTTACAGCTTTTGTCTATTTATTGTGGAGCTATATTTAATGATTTCATCATGGCTTTACATTAAACATATCCTTGCTTGAAAAGGAAGTCCAATTTTAGTCGCAAGGTCCTTTTGTGCCCTTCAGACGGTTTCAAGTGTTAATTAAGTCTTGATTGGGTGAATCACTTGTATTAAAAGTATAGTATTGTAGGTATTTTTATTTTGAACTAACTGATGCCCGCAGTTTTATTAGCTTAAAAACTTAAAGACTAAGAGCTAGAATTACAGTTTATTGAATATACAGAAAAAGCCACCGTAAAAGTTAGACTTACGTTATACCATAAAATCTGATTTTTATGTACAAATATTTGGGCAATAATTAGAAGTATTTTCCCCAACAGCCAGACAGTTTTGACAGTTCCAACTCCTTGCCAGACAGTTTTTTAGGGTAGCTCCCAAAGCCACGATGACCCAAACTTCATAATTCACCAACATTATATCCTATATTGAGAGCATACGCTGACAAACTTTCAGCTTTTATAAAATGACGTAGGTCTGGCGTTCACTAGCTCTTCGTCTATTAATCAACCTATGTTTGAGCACGTCCCCTCTAGGGGATTTCTAAAACTACAAAACATTTTTTGTTGATATTGATGGAAAAGCACTGAACGGATTTTGATGAAACTTTAGAATATACATCATAATTACATAAATAATGTAGGTTTTAGTTTATAATGAAAACGTGAATTGGCCTACTGAATTTCTCGAGGGTGAACAAAACTGTTTTCATATTTATTAACCCCTTTGAACCAGTCTCACTAAACGTAAACACAGTAGATCTTAAAGCAGAAGTTCACGTACGAAATTGTAGATGGCGTTATAGCTTTAACGTAGTAGTATCACTGCGTAGCGCTAGATGGCGCGTGCAGTCTTTGAAACTTGGAAACCTACTAAATACTTTCAAGAAATTTTGTTTACAATTATATTATGAGTTACGCGTCTTCAAGGCCTTAGAAGTGTCCCAATTGTGTAATAACAAAACTAAGTTTACAACAAGCTCAAATCGCCGTATCTTACCTAGTTTTAAAGGGTTTTAAATGCTCACGACTCGATTGGCGTGACGACAAAGCATACCTACGTCCCGGCCGCGCCACTTTATTTGCTTAATTTCCTATAAACTGTAATAAGACATTTTTTGCGACTGTGTACTAAAACGACATTTTATAGACAATTATTCTGCCAAATTTCATAGCGATTGCTTTAGTGGCGTAACATAATTTCATAGTAGAGGTGGTAGAACCAGAGCTTCTCCTTTTACGACACGATAAAATTGCTTAGGCTATTCAAGTTGTTGTTAAAAATCCTAATATTATCATCAATCGTAATTTAATCTGTCGAGTCTTTTTGTCATACTTCGTAAATCTTACTGGATTATACTAGAGTAAGGTTGTTAGAAGTAGGTTCATCATGGGTTCATCTTGACGTCGCGTCGATGGAGTCGAAGTAATCAAACTAGCGTTCATAGAATCTCGATTCGGTATTTAGATGCCAACGCAGTGTTGGGCTATTGTCGCTTCATGTGTCGCAGTGGAAAACGCAATCCATGGATGCTATGCTCTTCGTTGTATAGTACAAAATGCAATCTTGTGCTGTTTTGATGTTTCTATCACTCTTCTCATCAGAGATTTTACAGATTGTACTCACCCGACCTCATAAAGGTAGCAAGAAGGCGCTAGACGCAGGTCGCTACCAACCGGTCAACATGGTAATTAATGGGGGAGGCCTATGGCTGAAAAGATGATGATGAGTCACCCGATCTTCTTTTTCTTGTCGTGTCGACAACAAACCTAAACAGCGTCGGCCCAAAACTCCACCACAAGAATGGCGTTGTCAGTAGCCTTCATTAATTCTTCCTGCGTGCAGTTGTTTGGGCACGCAGGGCACGACATCATGTGCTTCATCGACTGGGGAACAAAACCACACCTGCACTCTAACCTGCGTCCGAAGTCTATTTAAAGACTTCCAGATAGGCCAGGGGAACTCACCCGGTGTGAAGTGGCGACGTGGCCGAGCCCGTGCGCCGGCGTCGGCCGCTCGTCGCTTGACTCGTCGCCCGAGCGCTCGCCCGTGAACACCGAGTCGTGCGATACCGACAGCCCGCTGCCGTACACTCCCTCTCTAAAACAAAAGAGTAACATTAATAATATAACATTAATAATATTATACAGTGTGTGGCAGTGGTCTATCAATGCCACGAGCTGTCGGCCACAACGATAGCCATAGGGGCAAAAAGTTCTGGCGTCTAAGGACCGAATCACGTAAGCAGACCCATTCTGTGTTCCGGCAATCTAGTAAAGGTCGCGGGAAACATCTGAATGCTAGCAGCGCAAAACCGTTGAGTTGAAGAAATCCTTAGGGAAGCCTTTATCCAGCAGCAAAAATGGTAATGGTACTGAGATAGAAGAAGATAAAACGCGGGTGTTCGTAATGCTAGAGTTTCCTTGAGTGACTCAAGGATCACACAAGAGCATTTTTACACCTTATACAACACGGTCAAGTAAGCCCATTTATTTTGCTATCGTACTGTTTATGTACTGTTATATTATGAATTAACGCTACCACAGAAGTACGAGAAGGCACGTACCAACTAATTTGCATGCTCGTATAATCTATTATTGGTTAGCAAGTCCATTCGTAATCTTATTTAAGCTTTTGAAAAGGTTATCGAAGTAGGTACTCGAACCAAAGTTTTACTACTATTCTGACTGTGATTACTCTATTAGTTTCTCAATTAGAATATAGAGCCAATAAATTAAACGGTGAGTCAGCGAATGCAAATCCAGCCACTCCAGAGCACTCAAACCCATCGGCTGCGCACTCATGATGATTCACGAGAATTAAGGCTGATTGAGGCAATAAGCAGTATCTTAATAATAGCTGTCGAACATCTGCTTCGGCTGATGCAGTTTATTAATAGATCGTGATTGAATTGCTCTTCGATATGATTATTGATTTATGTTTATTAAATTGTAACGCGAACGTGAGACTAAAAGGGAGCTATGTTCTCAGAATAAGCTTTGCCAATCAAACCGAGCAGAAAATTGCTCCTAATGGGAGTCGAACCCTGTGTCTGAGGTGTTCTTATAGTACAAACGAAGCCCTATCATCTATTTCTTTCTTCGCATGGTGGTCGGAGTCCAGCAATTCCTGGTGGAGCTAAAGTTCACTCAGTATCTGAGACAGGTGGTCTTACCACGAGACCATAGAGGTTTTTAAGATTGACAGAACGTGTTCATCATTAGACCGTAGTGGCGACCATAAGAGGTTAGATAAGACAGAGCTAGCCAGGCGCTGAGTCCAACTCTCTGGGAATGGAACCTTGAGTCTGAGATAGAAGAAGCCCTGGCACTCACTTCCTTCTCGAATGGCGGTTGACATCTAGCTACCTGATGGAGCTCAGGATTAGGACTCGTAACTAGGACAGGTGGGTCTTACTACTAGACCTCAGTGACGGTTAGAAGGAGCCAGCTTCATTCATGTGTCTGAGCAAGAGACAGTTTACTACAGCACCATAGAAGGTTTAATAAGATGGTCGTGATAGAGCTAGCCAGGCGGTCTCAAAACCTGCCCTGGGCATAGAACCCTGTGTCTGAAACATGCGCCGCAGCCCTCGCAGGAACCTGAGACCTCTGAGTCTAAGATGATGGATGGCGGTTTTACCATTGACTCAAAGACGCTTCATTCATGAACAAGAGACACTAGACTACACAGCAGCGACCATAGAAGGTTAAATAAGATGGTGATGATAAAGCTAGCCAGGCGGACCCAAACCAAACGGAGCAAAATTTTCCGACTGCGAAGTGAGTCCTGTGTCTGAGGTGGTCGAAGGATTCCTGTCAACTTACTTTCTCCTCGCATGGCGGTCTGCGTCCAGCAGCTCGCTGGTGGAGCTGCTCTTGGGGTCGGGTGAGGCTGCGCGCGCGCCGCTACCGTACTCCTCCGACGCTTGAGCTTGGGGCCTCTGTGTCTTATACCGGTGGTCTTACGAAACCACAGCACCTTTCCTAGAAAGATCCCTATCACTCACTTTCTCCTGGCACGGCGGTCTGCGTCCAACAACTCACTGGTAGAGCTGCTCTTGTGGTCGGGCGAGGCTGCTCGAGCGCCGCTACCGTACTCCTCCGACGCTTGAGCTTGGGGCCTCTGTGTCTTATACCGGTGGTCTTACGAGACCACAGCACCTTTCCTAGAAAGAGCCCTATCACTCACTTTCTCTTCGCATGGCGGTCTGCGTCCAGCAGCTCGCTGGTGGAGCTGCTCTTGGGGTCGGGCGAAGCTGCGCGCGCGCCGCTTGAACAAGCGACGAAAGACTATAGAATACTCACTTTCTCCTGGCATGGCGGTCTGCGTCCAGCAGCTCGCTGGTGGAGCTGCTCTTGGGGTCGGGCGAAGCTGCGCGCGCGCCGCTTGAACAAGCGACGAAAGACTATAGAATACTCACTTTCTCCTGGCATGGCGGTCTGCGTCCAGCAGCTCGCTGGTGGAGCTGCTCTTGGGGTCGGGCGAAGCTGCGCGCGCGCCGCTTGAACAAGCGACGAAAGACTATAGAATACTCACTTTCTCCTGGCATGGCGGTCTGCGTCCAGCAGCTCGCTGGTGGAGCTGCTCTTGGGGTCGGGCGAAGCTGCGCGCGCGCCGCTTGAACAAGCGACGAAAGACTATAGAATACTCACTTTCTCCTGGCATGGCGGTCTGCGTCCAGCAGCTCGCTGGTGGAGCTGCTCTTGGGGTCGGGCGAAGCTGCGCGCGCGCCGCTTGAACAAGCGACGAAAGACTATAGAATACTCACTTTCTCCTGGCATGGCGGTCTGCGTCCAGCAGCTCGCTGGTGGAGCTGCTCTTGGGGTCGGGCGAAGCCGCGCGCGCGCCACTCCCGCGCCGCTTGAACATGCGCCGCAGTCCGCGCAGGAACCTGCCTGTGCGCCCTTCGCCTGGAATAACAACGTTTGGGAGGTTAATAACTGTAGCAAAATCAATTAATTTATGGTTGAGGTTAAACAAAAATTCTCTCAAATTAGCCACACAGTCAATTAAGCTGTTTTTGTTTTTCAGAAACAAATTGTTTTGCCATTCGTCATCATCACGTATGACTCGGAGCATATAATGCACTTTAATCAAAGACTAGAAACCCATTCTGATATCATAGTATCATACGAAGACCATACAGTCAGTCAGGTAGATTCTATCCGTTTTTTAGGTGTACAAATTGACAAGAAATTGAATTGGAAAAATCATACTGATGAACTATGTAAGAAAATTAGTACGTTAGCTTATGCACTTCATAGATTGTCTACTGTAGTTAACACGGATGCGCTGCTTACTGCTTACTACGGGTTAGTCGAATCTCATTTAAGATACGGCATAATTTTTTGGGGTAACTCGACCAACAAGGAAATAATATTTAAAATTCAAAAACGATGCCTACGCGCTATGTTTGGACTTCAAATCACTGATAGCTGTAAACCAATGTTTGTTAAGCATAAGATTCTGACACTTCCGTCTCTGTACATCATTGAAACAGCCTTATTTGTTAAAAGCAATCCCCATCTATTTCCTCGAATGTCTGATGTAATTGTACGTAATCGCCGCGGTGGGGACCGTCTTTGCTTACATTTGGCCAAAACCACATTATTAAATAAAAGTATTATCTGTATGGCACCAAAAATATATAATAAAATCCCAGAAAACTTGAAACAATTACATAATGTTATGTTTAAAAAGAAACTTAAACATTTTCTAATTGACAAGGCCTATTATACTGTACAAGACTTCTTGAGTGACAAAATTTGATTAATTTAAATATAATTTTACTTTTATTATCAATTATCAGATGTACCTATTGTTATTATGAATTTTAATGTATTATTGACATTCTTACTTGACATATCATTTACATGCCAATATCTTGGTAAAACATGTTGTATCACCTGTTAAAACTGTAAGACCAAATCATGTTGCTCTGTAATATGTTTTCACACATGTTTATGTAAATAAATATCTTTATCTTTATCTTTATCGGAAGATAGACAGAGCACTCAAATTCAACTAACACCTAATTCCAGACATTGTGAGTTAATAATTTTAATTAATTGCAAGTTGCAACAATTTTTTTTTTCAACTCTATCTTCACTTTTTCTTTGTTCACTACAATCCGCTGCTATCCAGAGTATTCAGGAACATCGCTATCGCTGTCATTAGCAGCGCAGGACCAGGCAGTCGTTATGGAAATCATTGTAAAATACCTTTGTCCAACAGTGTACGTCTTTTGTTTATTTTGTAATCAATGTTGGAACTTACGTCCATATTCTCAAACATTACTATGTGGTCTCACAGTGCGCGTGGATGCACAGAGTGACACACGAACCAATCACAGAGCTCTATTCAACGCTGTGCGTTCGATTTGCTACTTCACATAAGAAAACATCGTTTGTGCCTTAGTCCGTATGGGCGTTAGTTTTGTTAGTATTTTTTTGGCTTATTCCACTATTCCCCATTGACAATCCCCGTCAACAGGGATTAATGAACTTTTTAGTTCATAATTCCCAATTGTAATTGTCAACGGGGAATAGTGGAATAAGCCTTTTTTTTTGTTGTAATAAAGTGTCCACGTACCATGGTTGTGCGGCTCGCTGTGCGGCGGTCGGTAGGGCGGCTCCAGGGAGCCCTCGCGCACGCACGACATGAGCCCGGCGCCGCCGCCCGACATCCGCCCACCGCGCCTGGAAACCAAATAACACGTAGTTAGTCAGGGTTAGCCATGGACATGTTGACACGTACCGGAAAACGCAGCGTGAGACGTCCACCCACAAGGTGGACCGACGACCTGTAGGCCTAAGATGCGCGCCGTGATAACTTTTCGACCTCAAAATGTATGGGCTAAATCGATAAAATGGCATGATAACTGTAAAGGTAGCAGGAAGGCGCTGGATGCAGGCCGCTACCAACCGTGCGATGTGGAAGTCATTGGGTGAGGCCTATATTCAGCAGTGGACGTCCTATGGCTGAAATGATGATGATGTAGACACGAACGTAGGAGTAGGGAAACCTATTGGATTTCAAGAAAGCTCAAAAAGATGGTTGGTCGCCTTTTTATGCTAAGAAGATGAACAATTAATGAACATACTGAAAACCAGTCGATATGGATACGTGCTGTTTAATATTTTTAGTACTCAGCAAACTTACCTACATTAATCAGCTTTTAGAAAGCTGTATTCCCCTACTGCTGGAGCCTATTAGAAACTTGTTTGCCAAATAAAACGATCTCGAATAGGGACATTATCTGGATGAAGTCCCTCTAATTTGTTAGAAAGGAACCGACTAGTTATTTTTAGTGACTTTGTTTTGGTGTAGTCTCCCTTTGCGACATGATGACCCTAAATTTCTAAAGCGAGTTAAGAGTTCATAGCATCATAGCTCCTAAATCCTAACCCATCAATCTATCTAGCCAGACACCCCTGATTGGATATTCCACGTATGCTCACTTGACGCGATGTTAATATTAAATTCCACCTAGACCAGTGACTAATGTAGATCGCTACTGATCGCTAGTGCACAGTATACATTCAGCCAGAAAGTCACATCGCAATTACTCAGCGAAAACAGATGCATACTAATCCATGATCATACAATGCGAACATAAATTCGTTCGTTATCTTTGTACGTTCGTGAATTCACGAATTCACGTAAATTCGTGGAACGTGGTATTGATTTAATTTTGCAAAAGGGGATCGTTGTGTTGTGTTGAACAGGGAAAGAACGTATGTGCTTTCCACGTACCACGTTGAGTAAATTGTATAAACTGATTTATTTTCTTGAACGTAAGATACAGCTTTCTCGTATAACATACTAACTCTTGAGTTGGGCAGAAACTTTAGATTATTGACAGAGACACAATAGGCCAGTGGGGGGGGGGGGGCGAACACAGTAGTTATCAGTTAACAGCATTGTTGTGTTCCGGCAGTTAAGAGATAAGATAGCCAGTTCCTCTGTGGTTGAGGATTCCGAGTGAAGCTCGCTTCCACCTTCAACCTGATCATCACTTACCATCAGGTGAGATACAGGCCAAGAGCTTCCTCTTTGTGGTTAAATAAAAAGTAACAAAAGCATAAGGATTCCCAAAGTGACTTTAAGACGACTATTTTTATTATATTAGATAATGGGGCTAGCTGGCGCTTATTATAAAAAAATGTTTCGTGACTGTGCAACGGTAAAGCCTGGTCCGTGAGCACGTATAATTTTGTCCAATGACTCCAAGCTACCCCTCCTTATCGCTCGCGCGTAATTATGTTGCTATCGCGCTCGCACACTCACTGCGGGCGCCCGTCGCACAGTCGCGAGCCCAGAATGCGATACTAAACCTACTTACTGAAACTAATTCACCTTTACTATGCCTAACGGTAGTTGGCTAATGAATTAACTCCGCACTACTAATCATATTACGCTATCGTAATTTAGCTTGCTGCGAATCTGAGGTGGCTTTTCGGAAGCTCAACAAGTTTGAAACCCGAATTTTGAGTTGCTCAAGACTAACTTACATAGATTAAAGTTTGTGGTCGATGGCAGTTTAATATTTAATGCATTCTTGAGTGTACCTACCTACAGGACACTTGACTAATATTATGCTACATAGTAGGTACTTGAACGTGGTTTCATGAATATGGGCCTATCTCTAATTAAATCACAATTAATAAAATCGTTTCTAACAAGTAAAGTTGGAGTAACTTTTAATCAAAAAAACTATTGGTTTGCAGACGGCGGCGGATCAAGTTATACACTGTGGTCTTTTATATTGATGTAATAGAGCTTATAGAGCATCCTTTAAAGCGATATAAAAGGCCCACTTAGGCTTAGTACTTATTGCAGCAGCAAAAATATACATGGTGATAAATTGGATTTGTCTCACATTTGGAGAATGTAGTATGTACCATAAATAGTTGTACTTTAAAAGGATGCCAATGATTTAAATTTCACCCTACAAGTCTAATGTGCATCATCCCTACTTGCTCGTGAAGTTATTCGATGCACGATGCAGATTGCACGCGCGTGCCTTTCTGATTATCACCACTAGTGCTGTCATAGGATAGATAATTTTGCGGCAAATAAATATTACATTTAAATATTTTGTAGGAAACGCTTCATCATTTATTAATTACACTATCGATCTCATTACAGACTCATTTGTAATAAATAACCATTTGGACTATATTAAGCTAGTAACGCCTTACATCATAGACAGATTCAATTTTTAGACTCACTTAAAGAATTTGTCCGATGGAGAACTGTTGTGGACGCCCTCTGCCCCATCTAGGGGACATAGGACCATAAGTCAAGTAAGTCAAAGAATTTGTCCAGTTTGATTAACTGGGTCTAGATTCTGGGACATAGCAAGGTTGAATCGATTTGATTATGCGGAAAGATAGTATAATATGATAGGTAATTTGTGCTTATGGGCATAAGGAAGCACATTTTATTTATAAAACATATACATAATG